GTTTGTATAAAAATAATTTGGTTATACTCAATCCATAATATATTTAATGGTGTGACTAGTATGGAAACCAATAAATTATTAAGGACATGGTGAAAAAAAAAGATAAATGTACGTCAATAAAAAGAAAGTAAAAACTTGCATTCCAATTCTGTCATGCATTTCACATAACACACTTATGCTGAAAAGCAAGGCTCAAACACATTGGCTGAGATGTCTCATTATTCTCGTTACCAATCAAAAGTAAAACAAATAAAAAAAAGACGCAATCATCAGGGCTAGAGAACAAAGTAATCAGACTGCCACATTACTTCAAACCTCAACATGCAAACTCTGTGGTATATGCGTTCCTCCTTCACAAAATGTGTAAAAATTCAACCCTGGATTTGATGTTCACAGTGTAACATAACATGACAAAGAGTTCAAAATCACAACCCTGCCTTAAGTGTTAACAATGTAACATAACATGATGCTCTCTTACGTGATGACGAGCTCGCTGAACTGCTCAAACCTAAAATGCCAAATTGAATTTAGTTTTTGACGTCTCCTGATGAATTTTGGATTAGTGGGAAAAGGGACAGATGTTGAGGAACTTCTTTTTATCAACAGCTCTAACCTAATGAGAAGTGACAGACAAGGTCATTAGTTTTTCTATACCACAACAGTGGACAAGAAAAAACGAAAAATGTGAAGTCTTTACCATAATTTTTCTTTTCTTTGTGGTTAAATCGTTACATCTAAATTTTTCTTAAATCTATCTATTCATTGCCATTAGATAAAATTTTGAAATATTCAGCATAAGTGCACATGTATGCATATATTTGGTTTATATGTATGCACATGTGTATGTATGAGTATTTGTATATCTATATGTACTGTATATGTTAATATATATGTGTATATGTATGTGCAGGTATTTGTATGTGTATGTGAAAAAATATATGTATATATCATAAAGTAATGGAACATACAATATGCAAATAACATTATCAGATAATGTCTTGATATGATATGATTCAAAATCATATCTAATGGCAGTGTAGCACGTGTGTGTGTACAACCCATATAGTATTCTTTATATAAGCACTTATGTAAATGTTTTTTTTTTCTTTTCTTTGTTAAGCAAAAATCTTAGGCTAGTGTGTGTATATACTATGTAACTGTTTGCACACACCAACATACACATTATCACACCCAGTAAAACCTCATTGTTATCATGATAAGCTTCAGCTGAACAATAGAAATAAATTGTATTAATTCAAAGTGAAAATGAAACTACATTGAAAATCTGATCATGATTTCAGCTGAATAAACCCTACATAGCTTACTCCACACTGCTCAAATCATCAAGTAAATAATTCCAATGCCTAACTATAACCTCAATAATAATTAATACCTATGCAATTTACCTATCACTTCACCAAGACCTGACACTTCTGTTATCAACTGGGTTTGCAGGGTTGCAGTATGTTCTTTTGGACTGTATATAACAATGAGGCTCTACTACACATAAGAGTAATCACTAACTGCATGTGTCTGTGGCAAAACTAATCTGGAGGTAGACAAGGGAGAGGCAAAGTAGGCTCTGATTGCCAATAACTACTCTGTAAAAGCCTTAACAAATAAGACATTATTGATTGCCAATATTCTATTTCATCTCCATGCTGAAAAAATACAAATGTAAAAATGAAACTTGGCAGGCATCATAGCTTCACTCAGGGAAAGACCTTTACGACAGACTTCTGCAAAACGCATACCTTAAGCAACACAAAATACCGGTATACAAATGGTACTTACATTGCGATGCACATCTGAGGTCGCTGGAGGTTAATCCTGTAGCAATCTCAGGTCCTGCTTCGCTATGGTTCACCTCTACCTCCAAATCGGAACGTGTTGGCATCACTATCCCGGAATCTTCATCAACACTTAAAGTATCCTGGATTCATAAAAGGAAAACAATTTTCCTTAGTGTTCTTTTCCAGCTTCTTTAATTCAGTTTTTTAAAATGCTTTGTTAGAGTAAATGTAAAAGCATCTCAATTACAAAATAAGGATCAAAATATAGATATAACTGGAAAATGAATAGGCTTTCTATATAGCCATAAAACTAACAGTAGTCACACCTACTTGTACAACTTGTTAAACAAATAACACTCAAAACAGTATTTGGGGTACCACCAATTCGGCTCGTTTTTTAACATACCTGTCGATCTTCTCCCAACACCTCCTCTCTTCTTAATGCTCTTCTGGGCTTGAAGGGGTCCATCATCTCTGAAGAATCTCCACTCTCCGCACCGCACACAGCACCTCTTTTCCCTAGGGGTGGAGATCTTGGTAACCTTGAACTCTTCATGAATGGGTTAACACTCTCATCAAGGTGTGCTCCACTATAGTGTGCTGCCTTGCTAGGATCCATGTCGGAAGCAGAACTTGTACACTTTACAGAATTACTGTCATCCGAATCTGGCAACCCAGAGTCACAAGAGCAGTTCATAAACTCCTCGGCAAGACGGCTTGCTTCATTGCCAAGTAACTGTGCAAACTCTAAGCTGTCAAGTTGGCCTATTCTTCCAATGGAAGGAACTTTTGGGAGACTTGCTTCTTCAAAAGCTACAGATTCACTTTCAGTGTTTATTTCTTGTCTTACTGATGTATTTCCTACTTCCTTCTCTACTTCTTTAGACACTCCAACTACTGCAGTTTCTGTTTTACTGGCTGAATCTGGTGTATCACAAGTAGTATCTGCAGATGGCAAATGCTCTTCTTTTGGGGGCAGAGTTCCTTTATCCACAGAAAGATCTGCTTCCACAACAAGAGGTTTAACTTCAACAACCTGGGGCTTTACAACTGCAACCTGAGGCTTTACTTCTGCAACTTTGGCTTTGTTTTCCACAACCTGGACTTCTTCTGTTGCAACCTGGAGGTTCTCCTTTTCCTTTGCAACCTCAGTCTTTTCTGTCAAAACTTGAGATTTTACATCTAAAGTCTTTTCTTCAGAAGTTTGAGGTTTTACTTTTTCTAAATTCTGTTCCTTTTCTTCAGCAACAGGAACTGAAGTATTTTCCTTTACAGAGTGAGAATCGGGTTCTGATGATTTGGGCTCTACACTTGCTGGCTGATCTTCAATACTATTTTCACTTTTTGGCTCGGCCTTTTCATCTAATACTTCCTTATTCTGATTCTCACTTGGTGCATTTATTGAGGTACCATCACTACCATCTGCATCTAATCTTTTAGGCTGCTGGTCTGGACTCTTTTCTTTTTCCTCAGTGACTTCAACTCCTTCTGAACTCTGGTCTTCTTTTTCTAACACTGGCGCAGGACTTTTAGTGTCTTCAGGTTTGTTGCTAGGAGTGTCAAGATTCTGAGCAGTTGATGACGACTTGCCTTCAAAACCTGACCTTGTCTTGAAGGGGTCGAAGTTAGGATCATCAAGGAAATCAAGGTTATACCCCTTAGTTGGTACTGCAGGGAGGTCCTCCTGATTTTCAGCCTCTGCGCTTGGAGCTGGAGTGGCCTGACTTGCTTCCTTTTTCGAGGCGTCTACCTCATCTGCCGGTTTCTTGGATCCTTTCTTTATCACTGAGAATCCCTTCTTGGCAGGAGACTTCTTTGGGGTGACAACTTTTGCTTTTGGCTTGACGTCCCCTTCTTTATCAGCTGGTGCTACAAATCCCTCTTTTGGAGGAGAGTTTGATACTGAAGTCTTTGTTGCAAAAGGATTGAAATTTGGGTCATCTAAATTATCTAAGAAGTCTAAGTTGTAGCCTTTTGAAGGTGGTATTGGCAAATCTTCTTCTGGTTCTGATTTTACTTCTGTCTCAGTGATATTATTATTGATAACAGTATTGTTGTTCTTTTCAATTGACTTCTTTACCCTAGGCTTTGGCTGTGGTCTCTTGCCTAGATTCTTTGGGGGTTTACGTACGGTCTTAGGCTCGTCGTCAATAGATATTTCTAGGAGCTGCCCCTGTTTATTGGCATTTTCCTCTTCCTTCTCTTCTGATGATGCTACTATTTCAGGCTCTCTACTAGAAGTGACTTCTTTTATGTCTTTTTTGTCTTCTGTTGCTGTTTGTTCCTTTTCTGATTTCTCTACCTCTTTTGCCTGTGTTTCCTTCTTTGCTATCTCTGCCTTGTCATTTCCTGGCACTTGTCTTTTCTTTGTTACGGCTGGTTTCAATGGTTTGCGATTAGGTTCTGGGCTCGGTGGTGGAGTGTTTCTGACAACAGTCTTTGTGGCAAAGGGGTTGAAATTTGGGTCTTCTAAATTATCAAGAAAATCAAGGTTGTATGATTTCTTTGGAGGAATCGGAATATCCTCTGGATCTCCAGCTTTCTCTGGCGGTGGAAGAGGGCTTGAATTTCTTTCTGCTTTCTGTGTGTTTTCTGTGTTAGTCTCTCCCTTCACACCCTTTTCATTTACTGGCTCGCTAATAAGGTTTGAATTATTTTGGTTGTCAGTCACTGGACCACTAACGTGAAGATTATCTGTAATTTCCTTACTGCAGTTATCATCACCATTACAAATATTTTCCTTTTCTGTATTTTTGTGTAGAGAGTTTTCAGTTGTGGTAGAGAGTTTTGCATGTACTTCACTTAAATTACCATTTGTTTCAACTGTCTGAGTAGTGATTATACGTGTTTCACCTTTCACAGGGTCAGCGACATCTGTCTTACTACCAGCATCTGAGAGAACTTGAATAGATTCTTCAATAATTTCACTCTTAGTTACGGTTACCAAAGAATCACTGACAGTGTTTGCTATGTCTTTTGAATTGGAGTCTGAGAGACCAGTTACTGTTTCCTGAATTACTTGAGATTCTGCTTCCTTGGCCACAGAATTCTGAATGACCTCAGTATTTCTGGTTTCCTCTTTACCTCCTAGTGGCACTGGTAATCCAAGCTCCTGTTCCGAGCTCTGGGTTTGATTTGTAGCAACGTTGGCACTTGTAGATGGAGGTTCTTCCACAACAGCTGCTGAACCTGCAGGAGTGTCAAGTT